AAAATTCTTGGCTGTATTATATGGCTCCAATTAAGTGACTATTTCAACACTGATGGTGACCATTTATGGCCTATTTGAGAAGCACAGTGTCCAGTGTGGCTCGTTTTCAGGTATGTGGAAGAAAACAGCATTGCTTTGGAAGGATTGACTGGAGTCAGTTGCTGTTTGTCATTTAAGATGAGAGAGGGGAAGGGGGAGGGGGAGGAACTCCATTATGTGGGGACTCATCAGTGGGGCTGAATAAGTGGTCAAGAATACTGGCTGCTATTGAAGAAGACTAGGTTCAATTCTCAACACCCATAAGGTGGCTCACAACTGTCTATAACTTCAGTTCCAGGGGACCCTAGACACTCCTCTGGCCTCTCTCAGTACCAGGCACACATACTGTACACTTATATACGTGCAGGCAAAGCACTCATACATGTAAAATAAAAATAACTTTAAAAAAATTAAAAACAGGGAATCATAAAAATCTGAAAATGTTTTCAGAGGAGTGAAACCAAAACCACCATATGCGGGAAATGCTGCGAAACTAAAGTTTACCAGAAATGTTTACATCATTAAATGCTTTTTATTAGGAAAATCTAAAGTCAATTGTAAACGTTCCCACCTCTTTAGCTCTTAAAATTAAGATCAAAGTGTGGAGGGTGCTGAAAAATAAGAAATCACTGAAACAGGAAACATTAAAAATAGGGGGAGACATTCAGGCTTAACCTTTGTGGAGAACAATGTGATCCCCTCCCTCCCTGCATCTCAGGGTACACGGTGATGTCAGGAGACATTTTTATTCCCACCATTATAGAGCTGGCACCCTAACACAGAAGCACAAGAATGTTTGTCACAACTAATAATGTCCGTTTTGACCCCTCAGAATTGCTAGCATTCCAGCTGAGAGTCCTCAAGGGAGTACTCACGACACACTCTCTACCTTATGGACTGAACAGAGAAACACAGGGTTTGTAGATATCAAATTATCATATTAGTGATAGATAAATGTGATGAACAACTGCATATCCTAAATCCCAGCGAAGTATGTGAAATAGAGAAAACTCACAAACTGGATCCACCCATATTCTATCAAAGAAAGTCTTTTTCATTTATTCTTCTCTCATACAATACATCTCGACCCTGCCTCCTTTCTCCTACCAATCCCCACAACCTCCCCTCTCCCCCAGATGTCTTTTCTTTCCATTCAGAAAGGAGCAGGCCTCCTGGTGATATCAACTGAACTCAGCATAAAAGGATTCAATAAGACTAGTCATATACACTCATACCAAGGCGGGAAAAGGCAACCCAGCAGGAAGAAAGGGGTCACATGAACAGACTTAAGAGTCAGAGACACTCCTCCTTCCATTGTTAGGAGTCCAAAAAAAAATCCAAGCTAAATGCTGCCTGTGTGCAGAGGGCCTGGTGCAGACCAGTTCAAGGCTCTGGAGTTGCTGCTTCGGTCTCTGTCAGCTCCAAATATGGGCCCTGCTTTAGTTGATTCTATGAGCAATGTTCTTCTGCTATTCTGGACCCCTCTAGCTCACATAATCCTTCCTCTCTATCTTCTGTAGAGTTGCCCAAGCTCTGCCTAATGTTTGGCTGTGGGTCTCTTCCCATCAGCTACTGGAAGAAGCCTCTCTGATGACAATTGGGCTAGGCATTGATCCTAAGATTAGCATAGAATATCACTAAGAATCACTTCACTGACTTTTCTTTATTGGCCATGTTTAGTTTTACCCTAGGTCTTTGAGCTATCCAGTTTCTAGATGGATGCTGGCCATCTAAGCAGTATCTGGCGTGTGCTTCCTCTTGTGCTGGCCTCAAGTTAGACCAGTCATTGGTTGGCCACTCCCAGAAGCTCTGACCCACCATTGCCCCCAGTGCATCTTGCAGGCAGAGTAGGTTATGACTCATATGTTTCATGACTGGGATGGTGTCTTAGTTCCACCACCAGGAGCCTTGCCTGGTTAGAGAAGACAGATGATTCAGGCTCCATATCCTCCATTACTAGGAGTCCTTGCTAGGGTCACCCTCATAGGTTGCAGGAAGTTCCCACTGTCCTAGTTTTCTATATCACCCCCCTAAATATCCAACCACTTCACTCCTCTCTCACCTCCGATTCTTCCCTCCCTCATCTGATCTCCCCTGTTCTCATATACACATGGTCCAGTCCACCAATAAAATCTGTTCTATTTTTCCTTTCCAGGAAGATCTTTCTCCTAGCTAGACCACTCCTCTTTATCTAACTTTTCTGGATCTGTGGGTTTTACTTTTATCTGGTAAGTTTCCATTTATAAATGAGTATCATGTTTGTCTTTCTGGGTCTGGGTTGCCTCTCAGGATGACTTTTTTTCTAGTTCTATCCATTTGTCTGCAAATTTAATGATTTAAATTTATTTTTTCCTAACAACTGGTTAATACTTCATTGTAAATGTATCACTTAATTTTTTTTATCCATTCTTCAGTTGAGGGTCATCTCAAGTTTCCAGTTTCAGGCTATTATGAATGAAACCACTAAGAGCATAGTTGAGCAAGTGTCCTTATGGTAGAACAGGGCACCTTGAGGTAGATTGATTCCCAGTCTTCTGAGGAAAAAGTATATTGCTTTCCATAGTGGCTGAATAAGTTTGCACTCCCAGGAGCAATGGAACACTTCAATCTTAATACTACCAATAAAAATGTGACATGGTTGTGTGGTATTAAGAGTCAAGTCTACTAAATTGTAAAGAAAGATAAAATGCTAACTGTACATGGCTTCTTATAGACAGTAGAAGAGAAGAAATACTTCCCAATTCACTATATATGAAGATTCATGGACACACACACACACACGCTCACGCATGCACGTGTGCAATACTTTAAAGGATTTGATGCCGTGATCAAGTGGAGCTCATCTTGGGACAGCAAAGTCGTATTACTACTAAAACACATAAACCATAATATTAACATGCGAAACCAGAAAAGTTTGTACTGAACTACAAATAAAGGAAAAAATTCTTAACCCAAAAGGTATTTACTGAAATACTTATTTACTAAAATACTGGGAAAGACTGAAAGTAGGACACGTCCCCTCGAAGTCCAGGCACAAGGCAAGGATATGTTCCCATGCCACTCCCACTGGGTGTCATATTGCATTCGCCAATACAATAAGAAAAGAGAAGAAAAGCAAATATCTGGTAGTTGGGAAAAAATCAAATAACACAATCACCTACCTACTTACCTAGAAAATACTAAGAAATTTGAACAAAAATAAAAAAAAAACAAAAACAAACACAAAACAAAAAACAACCAACCAGAAAGAAAGAAAGGAAGAAAGAAAGAAAGGAAGGAAGGAAGGAAGGAAGGAAGGAAGGAAGGAAGGAAGAAAAGAAAACCCACTACAAACCTACTAGAAATTATAAATGAATTCAATATGATTATAGAATAAAAGGCTGATACACATAAAACTATTGTTTATCTATATTTTATCAAAAAGCTCTTGGAAGTTGCTGCTACCCTTACCACACAAAAGAAAAAGTTATGCGGAATACTGTGTTAACACCATTTGAAAATACCCTCCTTCTTTCCACACAGGTTTCTCCAGGGTAATCAGAGGTGAATTTGATCAATATACATTGTACATATATGTGTGAGGCTGTCATAAGTAAATTCACTATTGTGTGCAATAACATACACTAATAAAACAATTTTAAATAGGTAAAGAAGAAAAAGGTACTTCATATTTTTTCAGCTCACTTTTGCTTCTCATGTGAGACACAACTTTATTTTATCCTCAGACTATACTAAATATGCCCATGTCAGGGACACAAGTGAAATGTTAGCCATGAATCTAAAAGATACCTCTTACCTATAAACTCTTCTCATGGTGTGCCACTGGTTCATCCCCTGAGACTATTGCTTTTATGTCTATGACATCATCATGTGCTGGTTCTCCCATGAACTCTTGGTTCACATAACTTAAATATTTTCTCTAAAAACTCTGTAACCTAGGTCTCTAAATTGTTGGTCTTCCTTATTTTGTACCCCATTTTCTGCAGCTCCATGCCCCTTGAAATTCTAAAGAAATGGGGGGTACATTTTCATAAAAGTTTTGAAAAGGGTAGGAGTTGAGAAACTTTGAAACATTTTTAATGGCTTATTTAGTGAGTTAATTTATTTAAAAGATATAATTCATGAACAGAATCATGTGTTCATCCATATGTAATACATGTCTTCAATGTATCTTTGAATATGATATTAAAATTAAGATCACTTTCCTTATTTTGTTATCTATAAACTATTCACATACTTACAAATTGTCTGCAAGACTGATTTTATGCAGTCAGTAATAAGAATTGTAAGGTTCTAATCAAAACTTTAGTGGTGATTTAAATAAAATAACAATAACAGTAATAAATCTCACTATATAACCATGTGACATTTTTTTGTGTGTGTGCAGGGCCTGCTTTCCAGCATACTGCAGCAGCTGGTGTGGGGCAGGACCTGCCTGTTCTTATGACCCCAGGGCCAAATCTCCTGCCTGCTGCAGGGAATGAGGGACTAGGGGTAGAGGGTATCTCTCCTTTGTCCAGGCCACCACGTGGGAGATGAAAGGAGTGGTCGGGCCACCTCTCTCATCCTCATATCCTCATGCTGGCTCACTGGCAACTCCTACTATGTGCAGGCCTGCTCTCTGGAGTACTGCAGTTGGATAGGGTAGGTCAGTTCTCCTGCTCTCATACCCAGGGAGGGTTCTTTTCTTTTTTTCTTTTCTTTTCTTTCCTTTTCTTTTTTTTCTTTTTGTTTTTTTCAAGAAAGGGTTTCTCTGTGTAGCCCTGGCTATCCTGAAACTCACTCTGTAGACCAGACTGGCCTCGAACTCAGAAATCCACCTGCCTCTGTCTCCCAAGTGCTGGGATTAAAGACGTGCGCCACCACTCTCGGCAGCAGGGAGAGTTCTTTAGCTCTGACTTGATCCCTGTCCTGGGAGCCCAGTTGGACTGGTTGTCATGTCTGGCTCCTTTTTTTCAGGAACTGTTAAGCTATTAATTATTCAGATGTTCATAGGTTTGAACACTGAGCATAGACATAGCCTCTCTCCTCTCTGCCACCTACAGACACACATGTGACACAGCAGCCACACCTGCAATGGCTTTTGGAGCAGGTATAGATTTTTTATTCATGCTATATTTTCCAAATGTCTTTGGAAATTTTAATATATATGTATACACACACATGTAATATAAAATTTTATTATAAATTTTATTTTATAATCTGTGTTATTGCCATTGAGAATAATCCAATTACCTAACAAACGTCTAGAAAATTGCCATCTTTATTGTCAGTAATAAAGGAATAGGAGAGGAGAAATCACTAATGTCTAAGTAACATGAAAAGAAGATTAAATCTTGCAAACAAGGGAAGTGACAGACACTTGGCAAGAGTTGCTTCTTAAACATTGAGTTTTGTCAAACTCACTGAATCATAAGATTATATGGAATCAATTATGACATTGGTATGAATGTCTGGAGTAATGACGGAACATGACTGAAAGACACAAGTAGCTGTATGAATGTCCCAGAACTAGATTATCATCCACGATTGTTGCATGGGTCCCCAAGTCCTTAGATTATACTTCTATCAACAAGGACAGGAATACCAAGGAGCTGGTAAAAGATAAAAAGGGGGAATGTTAATTTATCAATATGTTGGTTCAATGTATACTTAAAGATTTCTAAAGACTGCTGCACCATGGTGCCATGGTCTCACGGTCCCATGGATGGATGGCCGTAAAATTCAGCAGTGAGCAGTGAGAGTTATCTTTTCAATGATCACATCACTGTAAACTGTGTGTTTATCTTTGAGTGGAAGAAGTACTCCAAATAAGAATGTATACAAGTAAGTATTCTTTCCACTAATTTTAGTGGTCTGGAAAAAAAATACCTGACAATAAAGAATAGGGAAACTTGGAGGCAAGCCATATGACTGATCTGAAGAAATGGATATGAAGTCTGAAGACTTTTCTTTTCCACATACGAACATATTGTATGAAAGAGGCACTAAGCAACCGAGATGATAATTATTATATCATACAGCCTCTGCTGTCAGGCATTCTTGTGCTGGCACAGTGACACATGAACAGAGCAGGCATGTTAGCAAGAAGGCCACCTAGGGATTATATGGGTTGCCGTTCACCACAGCTGAGCTCCCTAATGTTTACTTTGACATTTCCGATCTGAACTCGTTCCCTTGAAGGCACCCATCCGGCACTTAGAATCAACTTGGAAACAACAGGTTTCCTGATTCTCACTTAAGAACTAACCAGAGAGCCAAGTTATCACTACTGCTTTTTATTTAGAAATTAAAATTTCCATTTTTGTAGTCAGATATTAGGGGTATTTTTCAATATTTTATTTTATTTTATGTTTGGCACTCTTGCTCGTTGGAGATGAAATGGTCCCTAAATGAAGTCAGCCATCCATCAGTCCTCAGGATGACTAACTGCTTTTGGTGATATCTGAATATTAATGAGACCAAAGTTTAAATTCCTGACCTTTTTAAAAATTTCATTTTAAGGAGACACGTTTTATTTTTAGCATGAGCTGTCTGGGGCATGTCATTCATCTCCTGCTTCCTGTTTTAATCCCCAAAGAAATTTGTAAAGTAGAAAGAACATACTTTCACAGTTCCTCCTCTTGCAGCTCCAAGTTAGGGACTCCTTAAGGTTATTTCCTGTGGACCCATATTTCTGGTGTTGAACTAACACTGGTTCCAGTGCTACTATTTTTAAGTTTTCCAAAAGCCGCTGTGAGTTGAAATAATCATGTCTGAGATAATTTGCATGCTTAAAAAGTGTAGTTGAATGAAGTTAATGTGAATATAAGTGAATAATTTTACAAAATCAACCTTTATCTCATAGAAGCTTCAGAAAATATATTTAAAATTATTTATCTTAAATGCTCTATCAATTGTTATTTTACCTTTTGAATATACTTAATCAGCTGCTCCTCTCCAGAAGTGCGGACTACTTTTTATCACTGGCTGACCTCACTAGGTATAAATCTACATCAATAGATGTAGGCCACCCTAGCTATGTCACTATCCTCTGTGGTTTGCTCTGCCACTGCTTGGACAGATGCCCCTCTAAAATATCTTATATAGAGAAGCTAACATGATATCAAAATGAATGAATACCCCGTTACTTCATATCACTGCTTCAAAACCTTTAATGGCTATGCATGAAATAATTATTGAGATCCACTAGTTTGAGTTCACATAGGAATTTATTGGGGACATCAGTCTGGGAAGTGAGGTCAGGAGACACTTTTTTAAATTTTATTTTATTTATTTACATTCCAGTCGTTGACACCCCCCCCACACACACACACAGCTCCTTTTATAAGCTAAAGTTTACGCTTCTGGGTGGCTCTAGGGACTGAGGCACTACTACTGAAAACACTACTGCTCTCCAGCCTCAGTCCTCTCAGATGTTGTTCCTCCTCTCTCTGCTCATGGTTGGCTTCCTTTCAATTCTAAGACTATTTCAGAAACCTTTTATTTGGTTTGCTTTCTTCCTATCTACATTTCATTGTTTGCAATGCAGTGCACATTCCAGTTTTCAGCCGCAGCGGCCCAGGGTGAATGCTTCATAGGACATGTTCTTCAAACATAAAACATGCTCTCCCTGGTTAGACCTTAATTGTGGAGAATGAGAAAAATGTTTATCTTGATCATTGTCATAGTCCTACTGATCCTCTGAGTGTCTGGTTTTCTCCTTGCATGTTCCATGAAGGAATTGACTGTGTTGTACTTGGAAAAGACCTTAGTCATAGTGAAAGTGGGTCAAAGATGGTCACTTGCATTGCCTGTTTCCTGTGGGGGCCTCAGTGATAGAACAAGCTCCAACTGGCCTGAACCCCCAGGGTTTACTGTCACCATGTTCTCATCAATGAGTAAAGCTTCAGCCACAATAATACCTTTAAGTTTGCCCAAGTTCACATTTCTGCTAAGTCTTTTACTGACCATTGAATTATGGTTAATTCTCTTCCCTAACAATAATTTTCAGAAATACTTCATGCGAATTTTGTGTTTTTTAAAAAGATTTACTTATTTATTTTATGCATATGAGTACACTATAGCTGTGTCTTCAGACACACCAGAAGAGGGCATCGGATCTCATTGCAGATGGTTGTGAGACACCATGTGGTTGCTGAGAATTGAACTCAGGACCTTTGGAAGAGCAGTCAGTGTTCTTAACCTCTGAGTCATCTCTTCAGCCCTCCAAATTTTATGTTTAATAGCAAGTCTATGTGTCTGCCATGCTATCAAAGACCTTTGTCAGCACTTAGTGTAATCTGAACTCATATCTCGAGCACAACTCTAGAATGGGTACTTGCACAGTGCCCCAAGCTCTGTTGATCCTATATTGTGTTTGGAAACTGATCCATTGAAATTAGTTTATATGGAATCACATTTGAATATTTCCGTATAGCATAGCCTTGGTATGATATTAAAATCTGCAAATCTTGTGTATCTTAATTATATGATCTATGATATATTGTATGAAAATCTACTACTATAGTTTACAAATATATCTTCATAAAAAAGTTAAGGTAGAGTTACCCTATAAATGGGCATCAATGCTTCTACTAAACACTAGAGGCAACCTAATTTAAAAAAAAATGCCAGCAATGCTTTATTTCTTTTGCAATTGTGGACCTGTGAAGTTCCATAGACAACCAAAATGTTAAAGTCTACTGCTGTTGGTTACCATCTAAAACATGATGGTAAGATCCTATTACTAAAGAACCCACAAATTTGAGTCGTAGAACATGGCAAAATCAAGCCGGTACGACCTTGAAACTTCATCCTTACTGGCTAGCTTTCATATGATGAAAATTAATTATCAGTCATATTCAGCTATGAATCCTTTGAGATACAGTAATTACTGCCCTAGAGAGACATGCTTACTGGTGCTCCATCATGGGAGCAACCAACAATTTTCTTATTGGATTTAAGCCCTGCATCACCAAATGAGACTTGTGTGTGATAGATCCTCGGGAGAACTCACCATTGTTAGGCTACTAAATAGACATAGTTTTAAACTGACTCCTTATCATTATACCCATAGTTCAATGCATCTCTTAACCCTTATCCTGGAAGTTTCCATTTGCAGTAGATGGTGACTAACACAGTGACCCACAACTGGTCCTAAAGGAGAGAGAGAGAGAAAGAGAGAGAGAGAGAGAGAGAGAGAGAGAGAGAGAGAGAGAGAGAGAGAATCCCTTGGAAGGGAGTTTGGAACATATATATGTATATGTATATGTATATGTATATGTATATGTATATGTATATGTATATGTATATGTATATGTATATATTCATTCACATACTATACACATATACATAAACATACATAATAAACCCCTTTCCAAGGCAACAGGGAACACTGAGAAAGAAGAGAAGAAAGCATGTAAAAGCAGAGGTAGTGCATGACTCCAAGGAAAGAGAGTCTTCTGCACACAGAGGAACATATATGAACTTGCAGTGGTTGTGACTGTGTCTTAAACCTGAGCAAGTCTGAGACAGACCAAATCCCAGAACAGAGAAGGAGACTGGCCACAGAACTCTACCACTAGCCATGGAACTAATGGCAACTTTTAGCTGCTAAGAACGGGGGAAATAGTTTTGTCTAAGAGTGTAAAGTCAACCACACTTCCATGGAAGACCACACATCCAATGATAATTGGGCAGCACAAACTGGTCTTGATTTTTTTTTTTGAAGACACAAATTATATGGGTAGGGAATGAAAGGGTAGATCTGAGAAGGTTTTGGGAGGCAGACATGATCAGAACACATTATGTGAAGCTTATAATTGAATTTAAAAAAAAAAAAAAGAAATCAGTGAGTGAATCCCAGCTGCTGACTTACTCAAAACTGACTTTTACAATGGAAAACCCTTATTTTTTCTAGACGTACTATATTTTTAGAGGCCTTTTTCTTTATGACAATTGTATGTTACCTCAATATTATAAAAACAGGAAATTTTTCTGTTTTTTTCCTATGGTGTCACCTTCACTCTGACAATGATAATTGCTTTCTTGAGTATATTTCCTTCCTTTTGCTTCTTTTCTTTTACTTTATCTTCTGTGTGGTCTATTTTCA